TTTACTTCCTCCGTTTTTCGTTTATGGATTTTTAATGTTGACTCTACTACTGATGTTCCCTTTTAACTAACTCTTCAGTATTGCGTTGATTGTCTAACGGAAAATCGGAAATCTGTCGTTGAGTGTTATTAAGAACTGTGTTACATTGATCTTCAAATCCTTCACATATTGAATCACATATCGCTGTCATGTTGCTATTTAGAAGCTTTCCCCTTTAAATTATGTCAAAATAGGGATCCATGGTATTGTACACTATTAGATCCGAATATGACGCTGATTTTGACATCTCCCATCGGATCTTAATAAATGGAGGTAGTGTTGTCCAAATTTTTAATTGTTCACATCTGTTGATCTCCTGTAGGTAAACTTGCATTAGGCACTTGGCACACTACCGTCAAAAAAAGCATAACCATTACTCCAAAACCGTGTATTTTAGGGCTAGATCGAGTACCTCTTTCCGGTCTCGGGGGAATAATATTTTCGTTTTCTTCAGCTTCAATTCAAGTGAGAAGGAAAATTTTAGTAATTGGTCTTAAAACCCACTTGAAGCTTTGCTCTCACAACTCTGACTCGGTCCTTTTTTTATGTACTTTTTCTATTTATACCAAGGGCTATCTATCGGGGTGACAATTCTCATTATATTAGATTCGTTCGATTGTAACAGGTAGAAGGAAGCGTTTCCGACCATATAAAGTTAAGCTGTGTCCGTCTATTAGTCCGTCCGTCTGTCCGTATGAACGTTGAGATCTCAGGAACTATAAGAGATACAGAGTTGAGCTTAAGTAGGCAGATGCTTGAGGTCCATGCGTCATGCCCACTCTAACGCCCACAAAATCTGGAAAACTGTGGCGTCCATAATATTATTTTGTATGCCTTCGTTTGACCTTGTTTGACATATTTTTGTCAATATCTATCGATTTACCAAATATTTTGAAAATATATTGCTATTTATGAAGAAATGTAGGCTATAACACATGGACAGTGACGTCACTAGCAGTTACTCAAAATACTTTCTCTGACAATAGGTGGCGCCTTGTGAATTTCCAAAGTAGAGTAGAGTAAATCAGTCACCAAGCAGTCACTACGGCTTAATCTGCTGAACCAACTGAATGTTATATGGCCTTAGACGGGAGGTCTTTGGTTAAAATCCGTTGCAGGGAAGTTCGCGAAATGTCTCAACTCTTGAGCACGGTGCCGAGTAGACGTCGACGGATTGTCATTGACACATTCGCCAACCCCAGCGATATATTCGACGGACCGAACTGGGCGAGTACGTAAACGTGTTGGTTTATTCATCAACTATTCAGTCTGACGCACACGCTTCACAAAACTATCTAATTTTGACCGCAATTTTCTTACAGTTTCGGTTGAAGACTCTCCACTTTGAAAGAAAGCGTAAAATTAACCATTTCGTAAACCGCAAAAGTTCTACTAAATATCTAACTATCTATCGATAGTTCAAAAAGCAAACGCTACATGGGCGACTCTGTAGATTCGTTGAAAAGTACGTAACAGGTGGAAGGAAGCGTTTCCTACCCTATAAAGTATATATTTTTTATCAATATCAATAGCCGAGTCTAGTAAGCCATGTACGTCTGTTCGTCCGTCTGTCCGTATGGACGCTGACATTCCCCTTAAACAAGTGCCTAACTACATCAACCTTTGCTGACGACACCGCCATCTTGAGCCGACTCACACAACAGAGTAGGCCGTACTATAGATAGGCCCTTAACATACATACAATCATACAATACAATCGACTTCGCTATTCATCCTGATCAAGAAGATATTTCCTTTATGGGGTCGGAATCGTTTCCTTCTATCTGTTACATACTTTTTAACAAATCTAGTATACAATTTTACTTTCCGAGTAACGGGTATAAAAACACACAAAACCAAATGAAGTCCAGCATAAATATGATAAAAAATAATCATTTTTATATGTCTGAGTTAAGTTATCGATATCGAAAAAAATGTAACTCAAGGTAAATCAAGAAGAAACACTATAGTCTAGTGCCGCGCTGTAAGATACCCGTTACTGTTTTATTAAATGTTAAAATATTAATTTTGGTAGTGGACATTCACAAGGCGCAACCTATTGTCAAAGAAAGCATGTTAATTAACTGATAGTGAAGTCACTGTCCATGAGTTATAACATACATTTCTGCATAAATAGCGAAAAACTGTTCCGATTTGAAAAATCTTTGGTAAATCGGTAGATATTGACAGAAATAAGTAATACAAGGTCCAAAAAAATTACACTACATTATAGACGCCACAGTTTTCGGGTTTTGTGGACGTTAGAGCGGGCGTGGCTTAATCGGAAAAAATTAATTCGCAACCGAACTTTCTATCTTTTATAGTTACCGAGATATCTGCTTTTCTAGAAAATCCGAAATCCGTCTTTTGAGCCTTGTGGGCGTATGGGTGGGTGTGGCAGGATAGTAGAACCATTAAATGATGCGCTGCGTCTAATTATTATACTTTCTGAATTTCAACTTTCTAGCTCCAATAGTTCCTGAGATTTCAGCAATTTTAGTTTTTTCTGTTTCTGGGAGGTATAGTGGGCGCGGCAGGATGTTGTAATAAACTTGCGCTGGCCCTGGACCTCAAGAATCTTCATGTTTAATCTCAACTTTGTATCTGTTATAGTTCCTGAGATCTCAGCGTTCATACGGACGGACGGACAGACGGACATGGCTCAATCGACTGCGCTATTGATCCTGATTATGAATATATATACTTTATAGGGTCGCAAACGCTTCCTTCTATCTGTTACATACTTTTCAACGAATCTAGTATACCCTTTTACTCTACGGGTAACGGGTATAAAAAAGATAATTTGGCGGTGGAAGAGTAGGCGAGGGGCAAAAGCGAGCAAAATAATGTCCGATTTGAAAAATCTTTGGTAAATAGATAGCTATTGACAAAAAAAATGTTATACAAGTGCAAACGAACACATTCATTATAATATTATGGACGCTACAGTTTTCCGCGGTTTGTGGGAGTTGCAATGGCACGTTACGTGGCGGGAGCTGCAATGGCATCTCTAATATTCATTTTCCTAAACCTAACTTTTTAGCTCTTATAGTTTTCGAGATTTTTCCTTTTTTGGTTTTTCGGGCGTGGCCAGATGGTTTAAAAATAATACATACCTATATGTCGGATCTTAAATTATTGTAGTCAGTATAAAGAATAAAACCAAGTGACAATTCTCGTCTCTGCATTCTAACGGTTTTGTTTGTTAGTACGCTTTGTTCCATCTATTCGCCAGATGGTCAGGATGTTCGAATATGAGAGAAAGAGATGTTGCGTGTGGATAAAGGTTTAAGAGAGAGATACGAACTACGATTGTTGTGTGTGTATGCTAGAGCCACTGCGAAAGACAGAGATACAAGTATGTTCGTTACAGCATTTTCTGGAGATCATTTTGGTATGCTAGAATGCTGGCGAAGAGTCTAAAGTGGCAGTGGCGTGATCAAGAGTATTCGCCATATACTTAAACATGGAAAACCTTAACCATAATCTAACATCAGAAGTGGGATCAGTACCAACTTCTGCATTTTCTGAAGATCAATGGCGTACTATTATGGAACTACAAAATCGGAATTTCGTCGAAATGTGTAAAGCTATGCAAGCGTCTGTGCGTTCACAAAATCAAGTGGTTTTGCCAAAAATTTAACCCAGATGTAACTGGAGGTGATGCGACTCAGTGGTGTGCAACAGCGCAAGCATTATTATGGACGAACAGCAGATTGATGTCAGCGCACTTACCATGATGTTGAGTAAGTTGCATGCAGGGCAGTGCTTCAGCAAGGTTTGCACAGATCTGCTATCCCGGCATTAAATGGGAGCAGTTTGAAGAACTATTTATACAGCGGGGCAAGCCTGGCAAATCGAGAGAATTCAGTTGGACAACTTCGACATCATTCTACACAGTATTGATGGATTTACATATATGTTGTCATTTAGCCATGTATTCCATTAAGAATAGTGATGTTGATGACATCAATGTTTTTGGCCGCAAATATAGCACGCCTACTGAGGCACTGATGATTTTTGTAATTCTGTGCAATGTTGGGAAAAAACTTAGCTCCAATTCATATAAGTTTTCTGTGATCTTACAGAAGTTTGTTGGCAAGGTGATAGATGTGCAGATTCATCAATTTGCATTCGGCCATTTCCAATATATATTTAATGTTTTGCAATAATTTAGCCAATGCATCATTTTGTAGTTGTACAAAAGTCAATTTTTTGTAAGTGGCGCCATAAAATGGCTGATTTTAAACATGCATTGATCAGCACGTGTTTAACTTGGTATAACCGGGAGTGTTTGTCAAAAATGAGCTCCACACAAAATCCGTGCGTTTCCTCTTGTATCTCGCAGTGATCAGCAGATCAACCGCTTCCAATGCTTTCTTGTGAAAAAATTGTGCATTCCTCCCATATAATAATTTGACACGTTTTGAGAACTTTGCCCATTCCAGCCTCAGTGTTTTGTAAATTCAATGCTTCAATGCTGGATGCGATGTTCATCCACCATCCAAAAAAGTTGCCGCAATTCCAGATAATGCCATGGCCAATACAATATCAATTTGTGATTATACGGTTGCCAAAATGAGCGAGAGAAGGAAAGTCTGGCCAGTACAACCGCTTAGTTCTGTGATTAAACGCATAATACTCTCATATGCAGAACGTTGTTCTGGAACCAACTTCAGAAGATTTCTTTGAGCATATATCCTGAGTTCAACAGAATCAAAAATTGTTTGTCGGTGCAATTCACGATCGAGAAGGTCATTTGCCTTTCTTTGTTGGCGCTCATCTATGCCAATATATGACATACATTTCATAGTTTACATAAATTCTAACGTAAATCACATAAAAAAACTTTAAAAAAATAAACAAAATTTCAAATTTAACTGTTTCAAAAAGGGCTGCAAGTTTAATTTCTAAAGACTAAATATGTTAAGAAACTGACGATTTTATATCTATTTTATTTCAGGAAGTAGTTATCGCCAGCTCTTTATCTGTCACTAGCGGTATGCTGAACCTGATGAGAAATTGTCCGAAGGAAGCAGCTCATCTTAGGAAAGAGCTATTAATTGCAGCCCGGCATATATTTGCAACAGACTTACGACAAAGTAAGTTTTATAATTTAATAAACAAAATTTTATTTATTTTTTGATAAAAAAATTAAAAATTATAAATATTAATGCTAATTAGGATTCCAAGATCACATATTTATTAATAGTAACCTAGAGTAAAAGGGTATACTAGATTCGATGAAAAGTATGTAACAGATAGAAGGGAGCGTTTCCGACCCTATGAAGTATATATATTCTTCATCAGGATCAATAGCGAAATCGATAGCGAAATCCGTCTGTCCGTCCGTCCGTCAGTCCCTCCCTATGAACGCTGAGATCTCAGGAACTATAACAGATGTAAAGTTGAGACTAAGCATGAAGATTCTTTCGGTCCCTGGACAGCGCAAGTTTATTTCCGCATCCTGCTACGCCCACAAATCACGAAAAACTAAGATCCTTAAAATTTTAGAAACTATTAGAGCTAGAAACTTGAAATTCAATATGTACAATCTTTGGATGCCAGCGCATCTTATAGTGGTACTATTACCCGGCCACTCCCACCCATACGCCCGCCAAGCTCAAAAGACGGTTTTCACATTTTCTAGAAAAGCTGATATCTCGGTAACTATAAGAGATAGAAAGTTCGGATTAAGCATGTGGGTTTTATGATGCTCCAAATGCAAATTAATTTTTTCCCATCTAGCCACGCCTACCCTAACGCCCACAAAACCCGAAAAACCAAAAATTGGAAATTCTCGGGAACTATAAGAGCTAGAAAGTTATCCTTAAGAATACGTATTTGAAAAGATGCCACTGCAACTGGCCCTGGTTTTCATTCGACCACGCCCACAAACCGCGGAAAACTGTGGCGTACATAATATTATTGTGTATGTCTTCGTTTGACCCACATGGGCAGTGACGACACTAGTTATTCAACATGCTTTCTCCGACAATATGTGGCGCTTGGAGACTAGCAAAATGAATATTTTAAAATTGTGTAAAACAGTAACGGGTATCTTTTCGTCGCGGCACTCGACTATAGCGTTTCCTCTTGTGCTTTCATTAATCATGGTAACCCAAAAACATAAACTTAATCATTAAACAAGAAGAAGAGTGGTATTGGTACCACCTAGAAATTCGCTGCCATCTGAAGATTATAAAGTCTTAATGCCAACGTATCACTTATAGTTCCTGAGATATCAAAGACTTAAGTTTTTTCAACTTTTTCGTGCGTCATAATGGGCGTGGCCTGATGAAAATACCATTTCGATTTGCGGTGTTGCCCCACGAATGTGTATGCTTTGTCCTAACCTTCTAGCTCTTATAATTACCGAGATGTTATTGTTTTTGGTTTTCCGGGTTTTTAGGGCGTAAGAGTGGGCTTGACTAAATATGGGGCATCGTTAAATACGATATGTTTAATCCCAACTTTCTATTTCTATTAATTTATATTAACCGATATCTCAGCGTGTCTACAAAAAACAAAAAGCGTCTTTTCGAGCTTGGTGGGCGTAAGAAAGTCCGTGGTCAAATAATGATTTCAATTTAAGATGCGCTGGCATCTCAATATAATACACACTTAATCCCAGCTTTCTAGTTCTAAATATTTCTGAGATTTCATGGATTTTTTGATTTTCATGATTTGTGGGCTTTAGAGTGGGCGTCGCAGGATGCTGAAATAAACTTTCGCTGCTTAGGGACCTCACGAATCTGCCTGATTAGTCTCAACTTCGTATTTCTTATAGTTCCTGAAATCTCAGCGTTCATAGAAATTGAGACATGGCCAAATCGATTTGCTATTTATCCTGATCAAAAATATATATTTTATAGGGTCGGAGGGACTATTTTAGTTGTTTTTTTTTAATTACGGAATTTATTTATCGCATCTTCGCTCTTTAAGAATGACAACAAGTATTCAAATCTTAGCCTAACACATAAATTTAAAATTAAATATTTTAGGAGAACGACCCAAGCTGTTATTGCTGGGTGGGGAAATCTCTTCTCCGGAGTAGTGAGTGGCTAGTGTTCCATGTAAGAGACCGCGCAATTCTATTTGTATGAGCCTATAGATTGATCGTATATTTTGCTTTTACATTTTCGATTTCGTCTTTAACAGATCCCACATTTAAATCTCTGTGAATGTTTTCATTTCGTATGTACCACGGTGTACCAGTTATAGCTCTCAGTATCTTTGATTAAGCTCGCTGTATTACTTATACTCCAATTCTAGCGGAGAACGGGCATTTATTAACCAATGTAGGTTTTTTTTCTTTTAATTTAAGTAGTTACCTTTCGTTTTTCTCGATATTTCAGCCATGGAGGCCCCGCCCACCGCAAGTCAAAATTAAGAAGTTCTGTAGGCAGCAGATGTTTTGAGCTTTGATAGTGGGTGTGAAAGGCATGCCAAAACTGGCATGCTTTTGTGCTGTAGAGCATTCTTGATTGAAGAAATGTTTAGTACTAAGTAGCAGAGCGCCACACAGCTCGAGAGTGAAACACATTCAGTTCCATTACTAATCTGCTGCAAACAACTGCGGAATACACCTTGATAGAAACATCCAAAAATCAGTGCATTTCGATGTGATTTTCATTGTGGTCGATAAATCTTGGCATACGTAGTTCTTGTAATTCATTCAAGTCGTTATGGCATTTGTTACACCATTCACCGATTTTTGGAGGAAGTTCCGTATCCTAGCCGAGATCGAGAAGCCACCATTCTTCAAACAGTATTTTCAATTGAACCACCACTGGCAATAGGACACCCAATTGGTCGCTGGAGTTGTTCGGATTTGATTAACGGCAAAGGAGAAAGATCAAATGGATGCCAATAACCTTTGTTGTTAAATGGCATCCTTTTCCTTTAGGATAGAGTGATATAGCTCTCAGTATTATTACGGTATTACTTCTGGGTTGCTAACTCATTCGATTACCCATAGCTTGGAGCCTTATTTCCAAATTGGCTTGAGAACTGTATTGTTCAGAAGTACCTTGTACTCCAATATTAGCGAAGGAAGGGCATTTATAAACCAATGTTTTCTTACTTTTAATTTAAGTATCATCATCAAATGTTGAGGTGGTTTTCTAGATGTGCGGCGAATACATTTGCCCTCTCTTCATTGCTGCGTGCCCATTCTCCTGTTTGTGTGTGTATTGGCGACTCGCTTTCGTTTGGTTCACATATACCTGATTTAGCTTTCCACAGTTTGAGGAGAGATGCTGCAAATAGGAGAATTAAATCGATTATTTTAATCTTCTAAGCCTTTGGGCTTGCCACTACCTCCAAAGCCTTATTTTGCTGCGTAGCAGTTCGTTGATATGCGGAGAAGGCCGCCAGTTATTATCAGGACTACAAGCCGGTATAATAGGGGTGGAGTGTTTTTCAGCTATTGACATAACAGACACTAGTTCTTTAACTGAGCTGTCAATCTGTGCTTTTTGGTAGATGTTTGGGAAGTCATCAATATGGATACTTACATACTTTCTGTATTTAAGCCAATCTGTTTTACGGGAGGTTAGAGCATGTATGCATTCTGACAGCTGTGGATGGTCGTAGAGATGAAGTAAAATAGGCGAGTGATCCGATAACAGATCTGTTAAGTGTTCCATGTGGACATTGTCTCTAGCTACTCTTCTTGTGACGGCAAAATCGATCAAGTCAGGCTTTTTATTAGGATCTGTTAGCCAATATATAGGCTTGCCAGGAGAGATGAGACCAAGCTTGTTTCTTGGTGTAATTATAGCGTTGCACAGCTGATTTCCTTTGCGGTTGGTGAGTTGAGAGCACCAGTGGGTGTGTTTTGCATTGTATACAGCTGACAGGTTTAAGATACGGTTTCTGGTATCGATGTGTATTGATTTAGCTTGTATACAGGCTTTGGCAAATGATGGCAACTCATAGTGCCTGGTGCTTTTCTTGATCAGTATGCCTGTACCGCCATTAGCCTTGCCATCAGGATGGTTTGCTTTATAAAACGGATATCCATTAAGTTGAAAATAGTTCTTGTTTGTTAGGTGTGTCTCTGATATAAACATGGCGTCAATGTCATACTGATCTAGGAACTGCTAGAGCATGCATTTGTGCTGTGAGATGCCATTCGCATTCCAGAAACATATTTTTAAGAAAACCATCTAAGCAGTTTTTTGTTCGATCAATAGCTCCAAAAGAAGATTTTGGGTTTTTGGGGATTTACTCCAGTTAAATGTTGGTTTTCGCACTGATTCAGCAATGGTTTGCTGTCCTGTCAGCTTAGATGCTCAGACATAGGTCCCGTTGCTATATCTTAACGCATGTGCATGTTTCGACTACCTAGCTTTCTACCTATAAATACTGGTTCTTTCAATAAAGTCAGATTCACACTTACAGCATTCGATAACTGTTTCTCATTCATCATCGCAATCGTCAGATGCTGTTGCCGCGTCTTTAGATCGTCATCTTTTGATATTCTCTCCGCCGTCCACTTGGTTACAAGTGCCAGTTGCGACACCACCAACAGACTTCCTGTGACTTGACGCCCTTTCGTCAGTCACTTAAGGATCCACCAATTCGGCGAATCGACGGTCATTTATTAGGCGACGAATAAACATTGCGATAACCCCGACGTGATCTCAACAAGAGATTACACCAAAGATCCTTAATCCTCAAAGTTTTTAATGGGTCTGGTTATGGACAGGTTAAGGGTCTTTTACCTGATACTTACTTTTCATCAAATACAATATACCCTTTACACCTTAGATCTTTGAATTTAATCCGTATTTAACTTTTAATATTTTTGTAATTCTATATCATTACTATTTTTTCAGAATTTATTCCCTCAATTGAAAACCTTTTTGATGAGGACTTGCTAATTGGAAAAGGCGTCACATTAGATTCCATTCGCCCTCTGGCTTATTCAACACTAGCAGACCTTGCACACCATGTTCGCCAAAACCTTAGCTTAGACGTCTTAATAAAAGCAGTTAATCTCTTTTCAAAAAATGTTCACGATGAAACACTTGCTGTGGGAATTCAAACAATGTCTTGCAAACTTTTGTTAAACCTGGTAGATTGCTTAAGACATCACAGCGAAATAGATCCCCAAAGGTCTCGGGCTATACTTTTAAAACTCTTAAAAGTTTTTGTAAAAAGATTTGAAACCATTGCCACCACTCAGCTTCCGTTAATTTTACAAAAATGGTAAGTACAATTTACGTTTACAATTATGTGATTCAATTATATATATAAACTGTACTTTAAGTCATGATTTTACTGCCCATGTGAGGCCTTTATATATAACTGTTTCTCGCAGAATAATCTATGAAAATTTTATATCACGTAGAAGGAAACGGTTCCGACTCTATAAAGTATATATTTTCTTGATCAGGGTAAATAAGTAGTAAAACAAGTAGTAGTAGCAGGAACTATACATGCGCCTTCTTGAGATGGTTTTGCAGCATTTCAATTATTTCAACATCCTGCCACGCCCAATCTAGCGCTCACAAATCTCAAAATATTAAAATCGCTGAGATCTCGAGAACAATTATAGATACTATGTTTTTACTATCTAAAATCGTAGAGATCTTAGGATAAGAGATAGAAATTTCGGATTAAGCATGTAAAGAGTCTTTTTTGAGGTGTAGAACTTTAAGTCGGCTTTACTGTTCAAGATTTTATTCTCACTGTTAGATTTATTCTCACTTTGGCTTGGCAATTCATCATAAATAGTCTCATTTTTGAACAACGCTTGCAAATAGTGTAATATTGTTTCGAAAATAATAATTCTGTGCGGAATACGTATCGCACACTACGTCCATTTTATCGTCAACAAAATCGTCCATCAGAGCAGTTAATTCGATTAACCATGGAACGTTTGCGCACCACGTTTACTCTTATTGATAACTAGCATCCCCAGATACGCCGTACGGTGCATACAGAAGAAGCAATTGCTACTGTAGAGCGTAGCATTAAGGAAGACCCGAATGAGTCCATCCACCATGGAGCACAGGAATTGAATCTATGTCCATCCACTTTATGGGAGATTTTGCCGAAGGATCTTGGGTTGCGCGCTTACAAAATCCAAGTCGTGCAAGAATTGAAGCCAAACGATCACCTAGCAAGGCGTAGATTCCTAGAATGGGCCAAAACGAGATTGCCTTTGTTCCCGATTTACATAAGCGAATTTTGTATAGCGATGAAGTACACTTCTGGTTGAATGGCTACGTTAACAAAAAAATCTGCCAAATTAGGAGTGAAGATCACCCTAAAGTGTATGTCGAAACACCGTTACATCCAGAAAAACGGACTGTTTGGTGTGCTTTATGGGCTGGAGGAATCATTGGTCCGTACTTCTTTAAAAACGATGATGGCCAAAACGTTACAGTCAATGGTGATCGGTATGGAGCCATGATTACTAACTTGTTCATTCCTGAATTAAACAGCCATGATTTACAGGAGCTGTACTTCTAACAAGACGGCGCAACATGTCACAAAGCTTGTGCCACAATCGATTTATTAAAAGACACGTTTGGTGACCACTTAATTTCATGTTTTGGACCTGCGAATCGGCCTCAAAGATCTTGTGATTTAACACCGCTAGACTACTTTCTGTGGGGCTATAAAGTCATTGGTCTATTCCAATAAACCTCAAACGCTTAACCATTTGGAAGACAACATTCGCCGTGTTATTGCCGATAAACAGCAGCACATGTCAATCGAATAATCGTCTTATTGATATATTATTATTCCATCCCCAGAGACGCCTTACTGTGCGTACTGAAGAAACTATTGCTACTGTAGAGCGTAGCATTGAGGAAGACCTGAATGAGTACATCCACCATCGAGAACAGGAATTGAATCTATGTCCATCGACTTTTTGGAAGTTTTTCGAAAGGATCTTTTTTTGCGTGCTTATAAAACCCAACTTGTGCAAGAATTGAAGCATAACGATCATCAAGCGTCGAATGAGTCAAAAACGAGATTGCCATTGAAGTGCACTTCTGGTTGAATGGCTACGTCAACAAACAAAACTTCCGCATTTGGAGTGAAGGTAACCCTCAAGTGTATGTCAAAACGCCGTTACATTCAGAAAAACTGACTGGTGCGCTTATGGGCTGGTGCGGCCTCGACTGTTGGAAAAAGTCAGCAAAAATTGGACGTCCAGATTGGACTACATCCTAGCCAAAAAACGCTGAAATCTCGGAAACTATAGGAGTTATTAAATTAGAATTAGGTGATCCCACCGCAACTAGCGGTAACTCTCCTCCGGCCACGTTATAATGCTTTACATGGACGGTAAAGTCACCATCAGTTAGTAACCATACTTTTCCTGCCGCTGCATTAATTTCGACTAGCGAAATTATTATTCTAAAATATTATAAGACAGTAAGAGGTGTCTTATTGTCCCGATATGCCACTAAAGCGTTTCTATTTTGTTATACCCGTTACTCGTAAACTAATAGAGTATACTTGATTCGTTGAAAAGTATGTAACAGATAGAAGGATGCGTTTCTGACCCTATAAAGTATATATATTCCTTATCAGGATAAATATCGAAGTCGATTACTCCATGTCCGTGCGTCCGTCAGGAACTATAATAGATAAAAAGTTAAGATTAAGCATGAAGATTCTTGAGAACCCTACGCAGCGCAAGTTTATTTCAGCATTCAGTCCGTACAAGCAAGCAAGAGAGCTTGTAAAACAAAAAAATTTGGTGTGCAGCTTATCTCACGAAATGGCCCTGTAATTCGGCAACCCAGATCATGCGATTTAACGTCCCTTGATTATTTTTTGTGAGGTTATGTAGTCTTTAGTTCGTGTAGACAAGCCAAACTAGCTTAAAGCCTTACAGCATAACATAAGTTGCGTGATTCGTGAAATACAGACAGAAATGCTCAAAAAAGTGATCCAAAATTGGGCCTTTCAAATGGACGCAAATGGCAAGCCCCGTAGATTCCAATAAAAATTTTGATTCTATGATGAAATTTTGAGTGTTTTATTCGATTACAAAAAACAAAAACTACGCATCAAAAATCGCCTGTTATATATTTCTGTATTATTCAAGCAAAGGACAATCCAATTCTGGAGCTACGGCGAGCTCGACTAGCAACGTCCCAATGCCGCTAAGTAATATATCAGATCTAAATAATGTATGTATTATAAAAAAAATATTACAAATATTGCTAACCAAAGTTTATTCTGCCAGGACCTAATATTGAATGAGCAAGCAAGATCAACCGCTACTGGATCACAATGGGTTAATTCTATAAATGTAGCTGAATTTCGAAGCTTAGTAAAAACACTTGTGGGCGGAGTTAAAACCATAACGTGGGGCTTCTTTAATTCAAAGGTATGTTTTTAAAAATCATTCTGGTATATTTTTATTTATTTTTATTTTTTTTCGAAAAGTTTCAGATATCTGATACAATGCCTACTAATCATGAAAAGATTTTTGGACCTGAAATATTATGCGTTTACATTGAATTAGTTCAATATGCGATGGAGGCTTTAGATATTTATACTATTAACGTTAATCCAATTCAACAGAGAACATCTGGATTAATTTCTAGGAGTAAAGAAGAGAAGGAAGTATTGGAACATTTTAGTGGAATAGTAAGTGAATGAAAACATATTTGTAGAGCTGAATACATTACCTTTTTATGTCTTAATGAAAACCGCAATCCAGTTATAACATCGTCAATATTATTTTGCATTTGTTTTTGCGGTCTTTTATATAATATACATTTTTATATCATAGAGAAAAGAGTGTGTAGTATTCGTTGAAAAGTATGTAACAGGTACAAAAAACCGTTTTCGACTCTTTAAAGTATATATATTCTTGATCAAGATTAACAACCAAGTCGATTAAGACATGTCCGTCATTCCGTATGAACGCTGGAACTATAAGAGATACAACGTTGGGATTACCACCGCAGCTCGAGGGATTTTTAATCCGGCTACTTCTACGCTCATAATACCCACAATGCGCGGAAAACTGTGGCGTCCATAATATTAAAATGTATGTCTTCTGTTGACATTGTATAAATTCTCCTAGAGTAAAACGGTATATTAGAATCGTTAAAAAGTATGTAACAGGTAGAATGAAGCGTTTTTAACCCTATAAATATTCTTTATTATGATCAATAGCGAGGTCGATTGAGTCATTTCCATCTGTCCGTCCGTCAGTCCTCTTGTCCGTCCGTCTGTCCATCTGTCCTTCTGTCTGTTCGTATGAACTCTGAGACTTCAGGAACTATAAAAGATACAAAATTAAGAGTAAGCAAGCAGATTCTTGATGTCCCTATGCTCAGCAAGTTTATTTATTTTACGCCAACAAATAAAACATGGCTGGCGTCCACGTTTTTGTGTCACTTTAAAGTTCTTAGTTTTGGAAACTATTCTTGTATAATGGATTTAAAATAACTTTCGTCATGATCCAAGTGGTAACTGCTTTCGTATAGAGTATAAGGGTATTGTTTTGAGGAGGGCATTTATATGCCACCAGTTTCTAGATATGTTTTACAACTTACAATTATACAAAAAAATTTGGTGCCGTGAATAAAAGGACGAGAGATTTTTTCTATGATTTATTTTGGCAGCGCTGCGACTGCGTGTTCATAGCGATAGAGAACGAAATGTAATGGGGCGAATCGGCAATAGTCGACTCGCGAGCGCTTATCTCGGCTTGTCTTACAGAGGTAAAAGAGATAATTGAGCATACAGTGATGCTGAAAAAATTGTAACCCATATTTTGGTATTAGCTAGATGACTGCTCCCGACATATTCCCCCCGTTGAAAGAGCCATACTTTAGAGCGAAGTGGTTTTGGGGGGCAGGACAGCTAATTTCCTTGTTGCCCACTGCACAATACAGATCTAGTGCAGATCACCACAATCGATTGACGCCGTCATCTCCGGAGACAGTGCTCTCCACCCTGCCAAGGCGCCACAGCAAGGTGGGTAAGTTGTCCTCCTTGTCCTCTGTATACGTGGCCATGTCCGATTTTTACACCAGAATCTGGCCAGATGAGCGGGTTCTCCATGAAGGTGAAGATGAAAATGACGACGACGATGATGACGATGAGGAGAGGTTGGCGCCGCCGCCAATTCCAGTACTTCCGCTTTCACCTGCCGCCATCAGGACTGCCGACGAAGAGAAGGAAGCACAGCCATTTCCAGCAGGAAGTCCATGAATTTTGCCTGATAAGTTATGCTGTAATTTTTTGCAAGTAGATGTTGTGATCTGTGACATGTGCTCCAACCATGACGAGTGCAAAGATTGCGGTGAGGGTTCATCCCAGTCAAGCTTATCCTTCCATAAGACCTGTATAAAAATCTTTAGCTTGGTGATGATCGGGGCTATTAATCCAAGTGGATCGTAGAATCGAACTATTGCCGAAAGACAGCTGCGCTTGATTGCGGTCTGGTCGGTCCATTGGCTTGAGGACCTGAAAAGTAAACTGTAGCGTCTGGGCCACTTCTCTTTAATGTGTCAGAAATTGATTTTAACTCCGACTGAGTGGAGGGTACCTGAATTGAGGAGATTGAAGATGAGCGCGTAGAGGCTCCTACCTTTAGACACCCTGAGACGATCCAGCCAAGTCTGCTTTTCTGCAGGGTGGGTAAATGGTTTCCTAATCGAATTTGTCCAATGCAAAGCAATAAACTTGCTCCTATAAGCTAGTCAATGCGCTGACTTTTGTAGAAGAATGAATGGGTCGGGGAGCTCGAGATTTTACGGTATTTTCCACTCAGATAGGTTAAGGTCGAACTGTGGGTGATAATCGGTGATTGACCGGGTAACGGCCAGCTACAAGGGACGTGCTGTACTTGGTATTAGCGGATTGTGTGAAAATGTTTACCGACTTATCCGATGCTAGCGAGGACTTGCCGATCCCTAATATGGAGATGGTTGAGCTATGGATTTGGAGTTGCAGCTGGGTTGCGAGACGAGAGGTGACGAATTTGATTTGAGAGGCCGAGTCGAGTAAGGTCCTGCAAGGCACGAATACGCCAGACATACGGTGGCAGGAGGTATGTGGCGGCATTTCAGACAAGGTTGCGAAAAGTTTGCTATGGGATTTGATTGCAGAAGAGTATTATGTTTCTTGTGGCAGTTCCTAAAGCTACCAGATCTACATTGCCGTAAGCTGTGTACCTTCCGTAGACAATTTAAACAAGGGTGCATCCTTTTTGCTTCGTTGTAGCGCTGAGTTGGAGTCAATCCTAGAAGTTCTGGGCATTTCATCAAATAATGCTCCGTGGACTCACATTGTATACACAATGGCAATGTCGAAGACTAAGCAGTAAGCGTGGTGCGATGACTTCTACTAGCTACATTTCCCACCTGTTTGCTAGGTGTATGGTCTACCATAGCGCGTTTCAAATTCTCCATGAGGAAAATTTGTTCCAATTCGGCAGCTCCTTTGCAGGCAACACCTCCTCCCACCTGTCCTGGTTACGATAGTCCAGTTTCGAAGAAATGAGATGGATCAAAACACCGTCAAGAATTTCCTGCATAGTTGCCAAAGTACTGAGGGCGCGCAAGTCTGCCTTGTCGCTCAATTGCCGCAAACTACTTGCTGATCCCTTTCACTCCTGGTAGGTTGAATAATGACCGAACGTGTGGCTGGAATTGTAACAATTTATTATAAAAGCGTATACATTTGACAAGTCCTCGTTTGTTCCCACCACCGTGTTGAGCATAGCGTACATAAGTCCAGCCAATCGATGTATGCTCCTCCAAATCGCGGAAGATGAAATTCCGGCAGTCTGGTAGGCCTAAGGCGGCACTGATGCCATGCAATTCGGTTGAATTTGCCATGGACTTTCTTTTTTTCGCCGTTTAAGTAGCGGCAAATTCTCCCTTTTGTGTCACAGTACGCGGTGGTTAATCTTATGCCCGCGTTGGATTCCATCAGTCAAAGTCTGAATTCAGCCTCTCGACTAACTCTTACTGCACCTGCAATTCACTTTCATCGCACTTGGCCAACGGTTCATCACTCAAGAAAGTATTTAACGCCGCAAGTTGACGCACCACGGAGCTTGACTTTGCTCCTTTGCATTGTATTCGTTAAATTGGGGCATGTTGCACAAGTTCTGTTTTATTTTCTCCCGACTTTTCGAATTAATTTCTGAAAGAGTGTTCAACAGTCTCTAAGCGAACTTTCCAATGCCCTTGACTAACGGCGACGAAAGGGACAATAAAAGTAGCGGGTAGAACGGAACCGAAATTATGTAACGCTAGGCGTTGTGTAAAAGTTTTCGATATGTACAGCAGGCGATGCTGACTATAGCTTTGGTTTGCAGGTACGAGTATAAGCGAATACCGTACAAACGATGCGAATTGAGTTTATTGACCTTCACACCGAATTGTGTAAAAGGCGCTTGGAATTATTAAAACGACATTTATTAATTTCTTAACTTTCAAAAGCGTTCACGATCACGTCGGGGTCACCAAATGTTTTGAGGAGGGCATTAATTTATGTTACCTGTTTCAAGATATGTTTTACAACTTATAATTATACAAAAAAAAAACCCGAGAGATTTGTTCTATTATTCATTTTAGCAGCGCTGTGACTGCGTGTTCACTGCGATAGGCTTGTCTTATAGTCAAAAGATAATTTAGCATACAGTGATGCTGAACAAATTGCAACTCGTAATTCTGGTATTAGCTGGATGACTGCTCCCGACAGGTATTGTATTCGTTGAAATGTATGTAACAGGTAACTATATGAGATACAATAATCGGACGAAGAATGCTGCTTTGTGAGATGCCTGCAAAGCGCAAGTTTATTTAACCATCCTTCGATTTTTAAACCGAGAAATATTATTTCGCCTTCCTCTGTGACCGGAACCCGGTGTTTTTTAGTATGGCTGTTAAATATGGCAACTCAAAACAACGCAATAAAATATGATTAATCATCTATTGAATGTGTTTATAACAAACAAGTAAATAAAAAAGGCTGGATCAATTTCGATATCTGATATGTACACTTCTACAGGCAGAGGGTAACGCAAGTTAATTTACAAAAAATGCAAAACTTGATTTATTTTTCTAAATCAATTTTTTCCTCTTTAAAATATTTCTCTGTTGATAAAATATGCCTTTTTTCGGTATATCCATCACCGCTTTCTTTGATTTAGCTTTTATTCCCTCAATCGTCTGTAAACGGGTCCCTCATAATACTTTCTTTAGTTTTGGTAATAATCAAAATCAGCCAAATCAGTAGAATAGCTTGAGTTCTAAAAAAAGAGGAAACGCAAAAGTCGAGTAACGCGATACCCGTTACTGTTTTACACAATGTCCCACCAATTGTCAAAGAAAGCATGTTTAGTAACTGTTAGTGACGTCACAGTCCATGTGAGGCCTTATAACATAAATTTCTTCATCCATAGCGAAATAATGTTCCGATTTAAAAAATCTTTAATAAATCGATAGATATTAACAGAAATAAGTTATACAAGGTCAAACGAAGGCATTCATAATAATATTATATACGCCACAGTTTTTCGCTGTTGGTGGGCGTGGCAAGTTGCAGCGGCATCTCATAAATACGTATTCTTTAGCAAAACTTTGTAGCTCTTATAGTTTCCGAGATTTACATTTTTGGTTTTTGGGGTTTTGTGGGCGTTAGAGTGCGAGTGGCTTGATCGGAATAATTCGCATTGGGAGCATCAAAAAAACCT